GTTATTCGTTTTATTCTTACTATATTTAAAAAAATGTAATATTAATAATAAAATATTTAAAATTATTCATTTCGACAGTAATAAGATGTTGAAATAATTCCTTAAAAATCTATTCCGAAGACGAATTTCGAATTTGGTATAAATTTTCTAAATATGGATTTGTTCATATTTTAAATCGTATTGGCGACGAAATTAAATATCGAAATGGAAAAGGATTGTCATTAATTGCCGAACAATGGTTTTGATGGCCTTAAGATTTTATTTCTGGAAGCTTTTGGAATATAGCTGACGACCATTTCTGACGTCACGAAGAAATAACCCAATTGGCCAAATGACTCCTAAAACGGGAGTAATAGTGAAGTAAGTAAGAGCCAATGTTTTGCCGAAGTTCGTTTAGAGAACGGTCAGAATAGACGATTGTCGTCTTTGCATCGCATTTTAAACCGCTGTTCAGCCAGCCAACGGCTATAGGCCGTTCTGTTGATAAACGTCGTTTAATGTAAATCCTGTCTCTGCAATCGGCTGATAGGGTACATTGATAGAATAATCGTGACTTTAAAGCAAATATTTATAAATATGAATTCTCTTATATAATTCTGAAAAAAACAAAAAATAGTTTTTTCAGTGTAACATTCAAGATTACATAAGATATTATATCAGAAGAAAATGAATAAAGTTATTTAAAAAGTAATTAGGCAATATTCATATTATCTTGCATTTTAAGGCTGTTGGTTTGCAGTTTAGAAAAGACATTAAAGTTTTAATGCCAACTACCGGAAGTATTGAGCATAACTNGTGACTTTAAAGCAAATATTTATAAATATGAATTCTCTTATATAATTCTGAAAAAAACAAAAAATAGTTTTTTCAGTGTAACATTCAAGATTACATAAGATATTATATCAGAAGAAAATGAATAAAGTTATTTAAAAAGTAATTAGGCTATATTACTTTTGTTATATGTGATTTAGCTTATTATATTGTTATTTTTAAATGAGCATGCCTTGTAAGATTGATGATTTAAAATTTTTCAGAAATGAATTTTACAAAAATTTTTAATTAAAAAAAAATCAGATTAAGTTCTTGCATGTAGCATCTAGCACTCATTTCATTCAACAAAATGATGTCATTTTTAGATATACTCATACACAACACCATTATGAGAACAGAAATTAATGAATATTTTAATCTTTACAATGTAATATTAAGTTTATTGTAACATTATTTTTACTTATGTTGATAGACACAACAAGCACTAGACTTTGCTTGAATTGTTTTTAGTGCTTCAACATTGACAAATCTACAACCCAACATCAAACATTGTAGAGAACTTTGTATCTGTAATATTTCTAAGTACTGACTATATTAAATGACATAATTTGCATGTAATGATGAAAGGACAATTCTTGGCTTATAAGAAAATGAAGAGGGTATTATTAACAGGCAGCCTGTCATAGTCATGTGTTCGAATTTCTGATAGAAAATGTTACATTGAGCCTGATGAGAAACCATTGGTCCTTAACCTGTCCTATGTTGTTCCCGAAAACATTCGTGTTGACCTCATTGACCTGCGTGGGCAATCCTGAATATTTTCGTGTTTACATCAGAACGTTTTTGATACTAGATGTCACTGTGTCACAATTTTTATATTAAAACGAACTTTTAAAATATAATTTTTTTTGTTTCTATATTATTCAATATATTTGTTTTGTTTGTGAAACATAAAAAAATAATTTTTAACGATACAGTAAAAACGATTATTATTTACAAAAAAAAATTAGGCTTAACATTGATGAAAATTCAACATGGCATCACAGGCAACAGGATAAAAATTTCAACGTTGAATAGGTTAAATGTATGCTCAAGTTTAATAGTCAGATGAATATTTTATATGCAAAAACAGTGAGTGGGAGCCCTGCTAATTTACTTTGGTTTATGTTTTATAAATAGTTTTACTCTTTGATTAAACAATAGATAAGCAACAAATTGAAAATTTATTTTAATTACTGAATTTATTTTTGTAAATCTCTCTCTAATTATTTAGAGATATGTTTTGTGCTGGACGAGTACCAGAAGAAGATCTGAAACGTACTATGAAGGCATGTGGTGGTTCAATATTATCTACTGTGTTTGACCTTAATGATTCTAATTTGGGAACATGTGATTTATTTGAAGAAATGCAAGTTGGAGGTGAAAGGTAATAGAAAGAATTTTTCAATGTAATTATTAAATCAAATATTTATTTTAATGTGAATGGAATATTAAATGTTTAGATGAATTATTTATCCATTGCTTAATTACATTAGAAAAATAGAAGGAAAGGGCAACTTTAATTGTAATGACATCTTTGAAGCTGTTGTTGCAACTTGTTTGTGAAAAGTGATTTAAGAATTTGGGTTTATAATTGGTTATTAAACTGGCTTCTGTTTTATTATACATTTAAATTTTTAGAGCAGTTTATTGTTTTTTTCTAATTTGTTTTCTGACATTGAATTTACTGTAGTATGAAAAGATTTAAACTTACTAATAAATTTCTATTACATAATGGCCCTGTGAGGCACTAAGATTTCCTCGTGGGGGCCGTTATGGCTTTGGCCAGGCATACAATGTGGTGTCTGGGTACTGACGAATGGGCCCAAATATCTGGACAGACCACTCCCAAAAATTTCCTGACGTTTTTCAAGCTGTCTGGATTCTATCCTAGGTCCTCAAGCACTAAGCTACCACCTTAAATGTTTGGCCATCAAATTGTTGATATAATAAATCATTTATTAATTGTTGATTAATAAATGATGTTATACATGTCCAATTTCAATTCAGTCAAATAATTTTGAACTGAAAGGATAACACAACAAAAGTTCACTGATGTTTCTCTTGAAAACTTAAATTGTTCTCTTGGTATATTATACACTGTCATATAACTAATTTAAAACTTTGACCTATTTATTGAACATTATTTAAGGATACTTTATTGTATTTTCATAAATTTGCATTGTAGGCATAAAGAGATTTATAATTAAAATGGTTTACTAATGATCAATTATTCAATTTCATTGCTTGTAAATATTGTAGTAAATTTGTCATACATACATTTGTAGAAGATAAATATTTTAAAATGTATATAACTTCCATTGCTAATGTAATTAAGATTACAAGAACAAAGCCTAGGCATATAAAGAATTGCTTTGTGTGTATTACATACAAAGCGAAAGTAAAATGTAAAAATAATGTTATATTATTGAAGTAATTTAATTAGTTAAGTGCATAAATGTTTTTTCTTATCTTTGTTGTTTCACAGAATACCACTAACCTTTGTAAAATAATTAAAAATTATTTACAAAAATTAGTAGTGCTGTGAAGCAAAAATATCCAATTAAGTTATTAAATTTGATTGTTAAATTTTTTTTTTTCTGTGGCGTAGTAAACACTAGTATTGTGTTTTATTCCAAAGACACATGGCAAATTTTCCATCAAATTCCTTTATTAGTTGATACAGTACATTGTTTTGTACTCGTTTCGGGCTTTGCCCCTCTTCAGTCAACTAAAATACAATATATATATTTAACTTATTACAGTAGAGAGTTTACATAAACAATGAGTACGTAAACGATATATAGACGTACCTTTTGGTTACACTTTGTATAATTTAAAAACGTAAAATCTGCTTTAATCTTTGTAAAACTAGTATATATTATAAATTAAAAGGTTAAAATATTCTAAAATCTTCTCTTATAGGCATATTTCGATACAACACAACTGTAAAAAATTTTTTAGCTGTTTCCTCCCCTTTTTACCTTCCACTCCCTTTTTGTTTTTTCTTATGCGCTGGTATCTTAAGTGTTGCCATGTATATTTTATAATTTTGTTCTTTTATAATGTTACATGGACAAAACGACATACATAGGCAACGGACATTTGCTGCTACTAAAGAACATCCATCGTCCTCTACTTTCGCTGTGTCTATTAAGGAGATTTCTTCAGTCCGAAAAGGACGTTTTATAAGTGGTCAAAGAAAACGTAAGCCAAACACTCCACAAACAACTTTAATTTTAACTTCTACTCCTAATATGAAGGCAATTAAATCAAAAAATTAGCCCAAAGCTCCGCCTGAGAAAAGGAGACAAAACGTTACTAAAAAGTTACTTGAAGAAAACAGTGAAAAAGAAAATTTTCCTGATAACTCCCAAGATGACGAAGAGGACTGTCCATGCATATATTGCAATGATTTTTTTTTTTTTCGATCGAAGCCTGGAGAAGACTGGTTTTTAAATTGTTTGCGTTAACTTCACGCTTCTTGCGCTGACGTTTCTAAAAGAACCGAACGTTTCATTTGTAAACTTTGTCAGTAATTTAATAGTTTTTACGTGTATGTCATTTTCTCCTTATGTAATATACCATTTTCTCCATGGCATATGAACAAAATGGATTTTGGCTAATCTCGATTAAACTAACAATATTTTTTCCTATTATTTTTATATTATAAATGTTTATTATATTTCATAGGTAAAGAACCAAAGATAATTGGTGTAGAATATGACAGTGCTGTGATTTACCAATAAAGAGTTATGAACCTAAAATAAAACCATATGTCATTTTGT